AATAACAAGCAAAAAAACGTGAACCGGAAAAAAGCGCAAAAAACTGAAAGTGCTAAACCGGCAAGCCGACTAGCTGTCAAACCTGATCTAAGCCTCTCTGCGAAAAAAAAGCTTAATCCAGGGGGTGAATATTCTTCTACAATCCTAACTATTCAGAGCCCTTAAAGGGTGGTCTGAACATGCTGAGACCGAGTGAAGAACTGGAGACCGTTGCCAGGGGGTGTGTCCTCAGTTTTTCAACTCGGTCTGCAGAGCTAGGAGATTAGAGACTACCCATCCTGGATTCTCCCTTCAGCTCAGTGGAGAAGCAGCACTTCCCAGTCCTGCATGAGGAAGGCTGGCTCTTCTCAAAAGGGAATCCCCTTTTCCAATTGTGTGTGGTAAGGATGCTGGCTTGTTGGGGCAGACTTCCCTCATGCAGTTCCCCTGCTACTCCTTCCTCTCTCCACAGATTTGTCAAGTGTGAAGTTAGACTTGAAGGAAACTGCTTCCTGAAAACTTTCTCCTCTGCACTTCCACCCACAGCATCAACATCCTCCACCTCCTATGGGAGGTCAGTCAAGGCTAGGCGGGGGGGATCCAAAGGTCTCCAACGGAGGAAGTGAAAGCACGGCAAACTCCTAAGCTTTGTCCACCAAAGGAGCTTCGTTGTCCACCTCAGGCCACGTGGAGGGCCCCTGGATGGCAGTGCAAGGCAGAGGGCAACTACCCAGCCTGGCCTTTGAGCTCCTGGGGCACTGTGACCCCACAGACTGGCCAGTTGCCCTTCACCAAGGGGGTGCCCAGCCATGCTTACTTCCTGTTAGAAGCTGCTGCTGCTGTACTTGCTCTCCTTGGCCAGAATACTCATGGTGGATGCAGGAGGGCAAAGCATGGGCCAGAGGGAGGCCAACACCCTCTCCATGCAAGGAGACTCAGCTTTGTAAGCAAAGCATCCTCAGCGATAGGATGGGAGACCAACAGGAGAGGCCAGGAGGAGGAAGAGGTAAGGGGATGGCAAAAAGGCAGCAGGGCTGCTGGTGGCCAAGTGCTAAGGCAACTCTTTTCTCAGACTCTCCCTCCATGACATGCCTTTTGGGCTCCAGGGAGCCCCCACAGTGTTTATGCAACTCATTACTGATGCTACATGAGTACCTATACAAGGGGGTCTTAGTTTACTTGGATGGCATTCTCATCTTCAGTGAGATAAGGGAGAAGCACATTAAACTAGTGCAACAACTGTTGAAAAAACTCCTAGAGGTTAAGCTTTATGCCAAGCTGTCAAAGTGTGAGTTCCATAAGACTTCCCTAGACTACCTGGGCTACCAAGGGTCAAACGAGGGAATTGAAATGGGACTCAGCCAAAGTTAAGGCGGTGCTAGATTGGCAGCCTCCTCCCACCTGGAAATAGTTTCAAAGTTTCTTGGGGTTTTCAAACTTCTACCAGCAGTTCATTCCTGCATTCTCTGAGATCGCTTTACCACTGACTGAGCTGTTAAGAACCAAGAAGGCCAACCCTAAACCAAAACCCAACCAACTGTTGAACTGAACATCAACGAGATTTTGAGGAGTTGAAGGGACTGTTTTCTAAAGAGCCAATCCTCCTGCACCCTGACCCCGACCAGCCATTTGTAGTACAAGCGGATGCCAGCAATGTCGCCGCTGCTGCAGTCTTCTACAGGAAAACTCCCCGGGCCAGCTGCAACCTTGCACTTATGTATCCAAAAAGCTAACTGACACCGAGAGACAATAGGCCATCTGGGAGAAAGAGGCCTTCGTGGTCAGGTGGGCCCTCCTCTCCTGGAGGCATTTCTTTGAGGGCAGCAAACTGCCTTTTGAAGTCTGGACTGATCATAAGAACCTAGAGGCACTGAAAACTCCAAGAAAACTGTTCCCTAAGCAAACCCTCTGGGCGCAATATTTTAAATGCTTAAATTTTGAACCGAATCATATCCCAGGTGAGAAAAATAAATTGCTGATGCTCTGTCAAGAAAACCTCAGTTTAACAACAGGCAGGAGGAAGTAGTACATGCAGTTGTACCCCAATCTCAGCCAGCTGCTCATCCAAGCTAGGAGTCGGGACGACCACATGGCAGGCCCAATCACTGCAGAGATGAGGACTGTGCTCCCCGCTGACCAATGGCTAAAAGATAACTCCAACATCCTAACACTGCAAGATGGATTAGCTTGGAAGGAATCTAAGTTGTACACTTCTGCCAGCCTGAGGCTGAAAGTACTTCAACACAGTAAGGATTCCCAGTTGGCTGGTCACTTTGGATTCCTAAAGACCCTCCAATTGGCAAGATGGCAGTTCTGGTGGCCGAAGATAAAGGCAGATGTGGAGGACTATGTAAAAAGCTGTTCAACATGTGCTGCCATGAAAATGTGACTAGGGAAGCTGCCTGGTTGGCCCCAGCCAGTAGCAGATCCCAGCTGTCCATGGAGGAAATAGCTATGGACTTTATAGCCAAACTCCCAGAGAATGGTGGAAATACCATCATTTGGACAGTGGTTGGTTTGTTTTCTAAGCAAGCGCATTTCACTGCTTGCTCTGGATTACTATCAGCTAAGAGATTAGCGAAAATGTTCATCAAGCAGATTTATAGGCTGCGTGGAATGCTGCGGCAAATTAGTTCCGATCAATTTACCGCAAAGTTCTGGAGGGAATACCTATGGTCTGTTGGTTCCTCTCAAGGGCTGAACTCTGCTTTTTATCCAAGCATGAACAGGGCCGCAGAACAGACGAACACCATGGTGGAACAATACCTGAGATGCTATGTAGACTACCAGCAAGAAAATTGGGCCAATCTGCTACCTTTTGCAGATCGTAGCCTACAATGCTGTCCAAAGTAGCACAGGCTTAACACCTTTCCAAGTCACCAGTGGAATGGACTTCACACCTATGCCTGAGCTACCTAGAGAGCCTTCCACTTCGATGTCCCTAGCCGAGTGGATAGACTCACTGAAACAGGGGTGTGACAATACCAAGCGTGCCCTCGCCCAAGCAGATGCAAAGTAAAAGCAGCAGGCAGACAAACACCAATCCCACAAGTCCCTTTTCAAGTGGGAGATCAGGTCTACTTGTCCACTAAATATCTTAGGCTAAGTTGCCTACAAAGAAACTAGGTCCAAAATTCCTAGGATTGCTCCCAATAGTGAAAGTGATAAACCCAGTAACTGTGCAACTAAGACTCCCTCGCTTATAAGGAAAAGTGCATCTGGTATTCCATAGCAGTTTATTGAAACAGGCTGTTAGCTCACAATTAAGACCAAGAGATCAGCCAGCTCCCAAGCCAATAGTAATCCAGGGTGAGAAACATTATGAGATAAAGAAAATCCTAGACTCTAGATTACATAGAGGCCTATTACAATATCTAATCCATTGGAAGGTGTACCCTTTGTCTCATGCTACCTGGGTGAAAAGTTGGGATGTAAAGGCAGATTGGTTGGTAAAACTTGGTATTTGCCGATAAGCCAAAGGGCCCCCCTGGGGGGCAGAATGAGGTAATTAATTGGTTTTGATTCCTAATTTCCTGTCACGTCTCATTTTAGGACGTTATCAATGCTTGAGGGGAGGCAGCCTGTTAGCTCCAGATCCATCTTGATTCAGATTTAGGGCGGGGGATGGGCAAACTCTATGAATGGGAGAGTGGTGAAGGGAGTATAGCCACAATAACATTTTTTGTCAGAGATCAAGGAGAAGTTGCTGGAGTCTGGAGGGGAATGACTGGAATTGGCAGTAGTTCAGAAGTGGATTGGCTAATGTGACTGGGGAGTCATAAATTGGGGCAGGGTGTGAGTTTAGTGTGGAAGGGGGGAAATGCGGGAATTCAGATTCAGGTTTTCCCCAGATGTGCCAACATGACTTCTCTAATAAATTCTTACTTTGATGGACTTTGTTTTGGAGTTTTGAATTGCACGGAGATTCAAAACTGGAATGCAAATTGGAATGCTGACACAGCGCCACACCCACTACCAGCTTTCTGCCGCCTCCAGGGCCTCGCAGTCCAGGAGCACTTCCCTTTCACTGGAACACCAGCCCATGTGCTCGACACTTCCTGTGTGTGTGCCCAGGTAGAGTGCCCCACGTGGCTGGGGTGGACCAGGCGGCAGGAGCCAGCCCCTCGCTTTCTCCAGGGCAACCCCACGGGTCAGATCTAACCACATTGTGCGCCAACATTGAGTTTGACATGTGTGATCTAGACAAATTTTCTTACAACTTTGAAATTTATGCAGCTACAAAGTATCTCATGAATTCTTCCTAAAATTTTCTAAAACAGGTATTATCACTCCAAACCTCATTAGTTAAAAAGCTTCCCCCAAACCAGAATATCTGATTTGTGTTATTCAATAAATGAACCAGAATGTTTAACTACTACTCCTACTGCAGCTTGGGATAAGTAGTAAAACAGATATGGGAGATGTATATAGAAACTGAAATACCTCTTTTAGGCTTGAGTTTTCTACAGAATAATTCTTTTTTTCCCCACAAGGAATTTTGTATTCTGTGTACAATATTCTATTTATTTCATAAATGTAAATGAAACTAATAGTGGAATGGAACAAAGTAAGTCGTATAGGAAGAAAATATAGGATAGAAAGTACTTTCAAGAACAAAAGCTGAACATATCAAGGTGCTTCTACCAATCTTGAAGATTTAGAACTTAAGAATGAATTTATCCCCACTGATTTTAGGAGGATATAAATTTCTAGCTATGCCCATGCTATTTAAGTTATACTTTATTTTTAATTAAATGGAGCCTAATAGAATTATTTCATTTGTAAAAGAAAAAAGAAAGGGGAAGAAAGAAAACTGTTTCCTACAAGTATAGCAAGATAAATGAAAATTGGCTAAAATAACCAAATTTTACTATATTTGTTCTTATTCTCTTTTCCTATAATCCATTGTCGCAGTTTTTTCCATACTCTTTTTGTTTCTGAAAAGTTATCCTTGTATCTTGTTTGGTTACTCTTACCTACTACTTCAAAGAGAAACTACTGTTGGGGCAACCAATACCTACCTGGAGCATGCATTGAGATACCACACTTTCAGGAATCTCAGGAAAACGTTGCCGGAGGTCATGGAGTACCTGCATATCTAACTGCTGGCTTTCCTGTGCCATGCCAGATGGATGTTTAAGTTTTAGGACTTTCAGAAAATAGCAGTCAACAAACTTTCCAACAATTATGATCCTTGGATGCTTCATACATCTTCTACAAAAAGAAAGATGAGAAAATTAATAATAAATAACAATTATACAGAATAGCATACTAACACATCAATATGAGCGTCTCACTCTCCCAAGCTCCATTTTTGCTGGCTGTGGCACTGTGGCCAGCCCTTCATTGTTTCCAGGGTAGCCCCACAGGCCAGATCTAAACATCCTGGGAGCTGGATCCAGCAGTGGGCCTTGAGTTTGACACCCCTGCATTAAAAGTTCCTTCACAAAGTAGTCCATACCAGCTGTTTTTCAGCATGTATCATAAGCCAATTAATCATACAATGTATTGTATGTATTTATGTATTATATGATTAATTGTATGATTGTACAATTATTATTTTTTTATCCAAATTAAACCATTTTAATAAATTATTGACAGGAAGAGGATGCTCTGTGCAAAAAACAGCATATACAGGCAGATAATAAATTTCAATAAATAAAAATATGTAGAATAAAAATCCTTCCAATTATTAGAGCTATCCATTCTTACGACATATTATTTTCAGTTATCATATCCCTCAGCATGCGTAAAAATATTAAATATGCTCACACAACCTCTGAAAAACCTGTTTTCTTGCTCATCTATAATGGATTATGAACCAAAGAAAAGTAAAGCATGGATTCAGAAAGAAGTTATTTATGTATACACATATAGCTCTCTAAAACCAACATTCTTAAAATGCAAAACAAAATGTTGATTGGACTTCACTGTAAGCCTCTAAAAAGGGAATGATGTATTGCTTTCCTATGATTTACACAAATCGGAAGGCTTATAAAGGGCTTATTATCAACCAATTAATAGGTATGATTAAATTTCCCTGCTTGCCATAATTCTTTGCTAAAAAAGAAAAAAAATCAACAAAAGATACAAGACTAAAGTGAAAAAGTGAATTAAAATATTATTTAGTTCAAGGAAGGCTATATTTTAATGAAATATAAGGCAGAATATTTTACAGTGCTTAATTCTTTCTATAAATAATTTTCTGTTCTGTAAATTAATTATCAATAATAAATAGCTGCAAATTGCAAATGCAAACTGATTGGCTTAACATTGTTAAGTAATTATCTTGGTAAGTTTGTAAAAGAAAATAATGTTATCGATCTGAAAATGTACCTAAACTGGAAATATTTATATTTCTTTTTATATAGTGCTGTAATTTACATAAGTTTCCACTTTTATGTAAATTATAGCACTACATAATTCCGCTATAGCACTATATATTCCACTTTTTTCTTCAAAAAAAAATCAACATTATTCTTAGTTAGCACTATTGCTCTACATATTTCTGGAGGATACTAAACTTCCATTACAATGTTTACATTGGGTAGTGCCTCATAAATCCATAAAAATACAGATATTGGTATTTATAAGATATTTCCAGTACAATAAGAGAGGAAGTGTACCAGAGAACAAAGGATGAACCTATGACATAAAGGAAGAGAGATTCATACATTAAGACAGATACCCAGAAGGGTCAGGGAACAGAGATGTTACCAATTTTTAACTACTCAACTGAATAAATAAGATGTTCAGATGATTGCTCCCAGAAGGTATTTTGATTACATGGCAAGATAAAAAATTCAGGATCGACACACCCAGCAAAGCACACGAATTTTTTGATCAGTATTTCACGACAGAGGAGGAACAAGAGAATAGAGAATAGAGTGAAAGTAAAAGCCAAGAGGAAGAACTAATAGAAGAGAAAGAGGTAGAGAAAGAAAGAATAAGGCAGGAAAAAGAACGAGCAGTGAGACAGGATACACAAATCGAAATACAAAGAGAGATAAGGACAACTAGAAGGGAAGGCCCATATACAAATAACAAGATGGCAGAAGAAATAAAGATGCTCTCAATTAACATCAATGAGCTAAATTCCCCAGCAAAAAGAAAACAAACGTTGACTAAGATACAGAAATTGAACCTAGATATAATATGTCTTCAGGAAGTACACATTAAGAAACACCATGCTAAAATACTGGAAAATCCAAAATGGGAATCTCTACACATCCTTAGCACAACAGAAGAAGAGGGGAATTGCTGTGTATATTAAGGAAAGGATAAAGGTGAAACAAATATATACAGATGGAGATGGAAGAGTATTAATGATGGAAATAATAATAAATTTAAAACAAATCTTGCTTACTGTAATATATGCACAAAACAATAATCAGAAAGAATTTTATCGGAAACTACACAAAAAAATAATTAAGACCGAATATGAAAATGAGTGCTTAATAGGTGATTTCAATGCAGTGGTGGTGGTTAAAAAGGACTATAAAAGTAGTAAAAATAATAAAATTAAAGAGGAGAATATTTACAAGCACATTTTTTGAGATGACAAAAGACATATGTAGGGAACGAAATGAAAAAAGCAGACAGTATATCTTTTGCTCAAATGCACATTGTTCATGGTTAAGAATTGATATAGCATAGATGACATTGTGATTGAGGAATAATATGCAGGAAGTAGAAATAATGACCAACACCTGGGCTGATCATAATCCAATAAAAGTGATATAGAGAAGACAGAAGAGAAGAGGAAGATGGACAGTGAACCAAGCAATAATGAAAGATAAAGAATATGTACAAATGATGGAGAGGGAGTTGGACTTCTTCACAGAAAATACGAAAGAAGGAACAACACAAATGTTGTGGGACACAGCAAAGGCGTACATCCGTGGATTGACAATAGCATATGTGGCAAGAAAAAAATAGGAAAAAAAATATCAACAAGATGTTCTACATCTAACTTAAGGAACTGGAAGTAGAATTAAAGAACAACCCTCAAAAAGGTAAAGTTAAAAAGAAAATGGAACTTATAAGACATAGACTGAATCTGATAGTACAGGAAGAAATGGCACAAAAAGTTAAAAGGATGAAACAACATATTTTTGAGCATGCGAATAAACCAGAGAGATGGCTAATAAATAAATTAAGAAAAGTAAAGGAGAAAAGAATAATACACCAATTGCAAGATGACAAAGGGAATATATGTCACAGAACAGAAGAGAAAAAGAAAATTATTCAAGAATTTTTGAAGGAATTTATACAGTCAGGAAAATATAATGGAAAAAAATGTTAAAGAATATTTGGATAAGAAAAAAATTAAGCAAAATTGAAGAGATAAAAAGAATGATGTTAAATGAAAAAATAACAATGATGGAAATGGCAGAGGTAAAAAAAAAACAAAAGAACAATAAAACCCCGGGCCCAGATGGAATACCTGTAGAACTTTATAAAAATATACAAAAGCCATTAGGGACAACTATGATAGATATAACGAAGCACTGGCAGAAGCGAAATTACCTAAAACTTGGTCAGAAGCATACACAGCATCAATCCCAAAAGAAGAGACAAATCACCAACCAATAAAGAATTAAAGGCCTATTTCATTATAGAATACTGAATATTGATTATAAAATATTTGCATCCATAATGGCGGAAAGGCTAAAAAAAGGTGTTAAATGAGTTGATACATCCAGATCAAAATGGATTTCTACCAAAAAGACAGATTAAAAATAATTTGAGAACGATTATAATATTGAAATATTATGAAGTACATTCTGGAAGACAATTATCATTGATGTTTCTAGATGCGCAAAAGGTTTTCGATAATTTGAATTGGCAGTTTATTACAAAACAATTAGAAATTATGAATTTTGGGGAGCAATTTGTAAGAATGGTACAAGCAATATGTTCCACAAAAATGGCAAAAGTAATATTAAATGGAGAGTTAACCAAACACTTTCAAATATTGAAGGAAGTAAGGCAAGGATGTTTATCCTGACCAGTGTTAACTTGAAAAGATTAGAGGGGAACAAGAAATAAAAGGTCTCAAAATAAAAAAGAGGAATATAAAGTCCAAGCTTTTGCAGACGATTTGGTATTTGTGCTTGAGGAACTGTTAGATTTGGGAACCAAATTAATTCAAAAGATTGAAGAATTTGGAAAAGTGGCAGGTCTTAAAATAAATAAAAATTATAACAAAAAATCTTACTAAGAAACAAAGAACTGGAAGAAAAATTGGAAATGCAAATTGTCAAAAAAGTTAAATATTTAGGAATATGGCTAACAGCGAAAAGTATATTAAAAAGATAATTATACAAAATTGATACCACAAATTAAGACAGATTTGGATAATTCGAAGAAATTACAACTCTCGCTTATAAGATGAATTGCCACAACAAAAATGAACATGTTAACTTCCGGTTTGGGTCTCTTCAGCGAAAGACCGAAATCCGCAATCGTGCATGGTTTCGATCTGTGCTCGCTGCTGAAGCGCCCCGATCCTTTGGATTTGGGGCTGAAGCCACCCTGTAGAGGTGAAGAGGGGGGAGACTGCTAGCTGAGTCGAGGGGAGGCACATCTCTCCTCCTTGGCTGGTCTAAACTCCCTTTCCCGAAGGCGGTTGCAGCAGTGGTCAGAAATGGCCACCTCAAAGAAGAACCTGACTGGATTAGATTGTGCAGGAGGAAGACAAAGAGGAAAGCAGGACGGACCGGGCTAAACAACAGAGAACATCTAAGAAAGGTACCTTGAATCTAAAAGTACTTAGAGGGATACTTCTGAAAGAAGATCGTTAAGGGGCAAAGGAGAGAGAAAAGGAGGTTAAAAACCCTTTTTTAAATCTTTATATTGACAATTTCAAATGGTATGGAAAGAAGTTTATATTAATCTATTTTGACACTAATAGGCAACCTTAAGCTGAAATCTAAGTGTCAAAAAGAGAATAAAGATTTTTTCTTGGTCATTTTAAAGCCCTAAAAAAGAGAAGAGTGGAGGCAAACAGGTGGGACTTGGAATAATGGAAAGTTATTTTCACCTGGAAAAATAAAGAGGGTTAACAGTGAAACTTTGAAAAGACTCCCGAGGATACATTGTAACTGAAATCTTATTAAAAGATACAGTAACCCACGGAAAGGAAAAACAAAGGAAAGAAACAAGAAGGAACAGTCTGGGATCATTTGGTGATTTAAAAAACAAGGTTTGGG